TGACTTGGAAGAAGTGGCCGTAGTCTTTGGAAACTATAAGAGGACACTCCAAGAACCAGCCAGGTTCACTCTTCACCAGTCCTGACAGAGTGTGTTTCCAAACATTCTGGCTCCAGAGACTGCCAGATCTACCCACACCTTGAGGACTGGACCCCAGAGTTGAACTAATATTATTCTGTCCTGAGTCAAGATTGCTGAGCCCAGAGACAAGTTATGGAGAAATGGAGTCAGACATGTCACAAGCCTTCCAGGAAGAACTCACCTGCTTCATCTGCCTGAACTGCTTTATAGACCCAGTCACCATAAGCTGTGGCCACAGCTTCTGTCAAGCCTGCCTCCACCTTTCTTGGGAAGACATCCAGCTTCCTGTCCATTGCCCTATGTGTAGGGAACCATCCGAGCAGAAGGACTTCAGAAGCAACACTGTTCTGAAGAAGCTGGTGTCCATTGCCAGACAAGCCAGCCTCATGAAGTACCTGAGCTCTGAGGAGCATAAATGTGTGACCCACAAGGAGACAAAGAGGATCTTCTGTGTTGAGAACAGGAGCTACCTCTGTCAACTCTGCTCTGACTCCCATGAGCACAGAGGTCACCAACACGGTCCCATCGAAGTAGCTGCTGAGGAGCAAATGGAAAGACTTTTACAGCAAATGGCATCTTTGTGGGAGAAGATCCAAGAAATTAAAGGGAAGATAGAGGCAGAGAACAGAAGGACAACTCTGTGGACGGACTACTTGACACTGCGGGAGCAAATGGTCAGAACAGAGTACAGGAGACTGTGTCCTGTCCAGGGTCAAGAGGAAGAGCAACATATTGAGTCTATGCAAAATGAAGGCCAACGTGTTTTAGAGAATCTCAGGAGAAGGGAAGCCATGATGGTCCAAAAGAGCCAAGAGCTGAGAGAAATGTATCAGGAGCTGATGGCAATGTCCCAGGAGCCACATGAGCTACTGCTCCAGGGTTTGGATGACATGTTCAGGAGGAGTGAGTCAATGCAGCAGCAGCTGAGCATGCCCCAGACTCTGAATCTAGAGCTCAGCTCTCTACCCATCAGTGGACTGACTGAAAGGTATAGCCACTTCCTATTCAAATTTGTCTTTAAATTTACAAGCATATGCCCTACCAATGTGAAGCTCTTCAATGTCATGAGAAGATGCAGCTTCAGACCTCACGGTAAGGATAGATCTGTGGATTCTGCTAGATCCTATTTGGCTTCCTGGGGATCAGACTGCTTCATCAAAGGGAAATATTACTGGGAGGTGGATTTGAACAATTCCTCCTCGGACTGGGCTGTGGGGGCCTGTAAGGATTCCTGGATAAGCAACAGAAACCAGCTCATTGAATCTGAGGGTGCCTTTCTTCTGGTGTGTGTGAAGGAGGGTGATCATTACAGTCTCCTCACCACATGCCCAGTATTCCAGCACTATATAGAGAGACCACTGGGCTGGATTGGTGTGTTCCTCGATTGTGAGGAGGGTAGTTTAAGTTTCCTGAATGTTGCCAAGAGTTCTCTCATACACAAATATGCTCCTGGCACCGTCAATCCCTCTGTCAGGCCTTTCTTCTCTACTGGCCCCATGTGATCCTCGGAAGATGGAATCCCAGGACATTAGTGTTTTTATGTATTTCTTACTGTATTGTTACATCATTTATTGTTATTAAATATTAAAATATTATTAAATGAAAAATAAAGAGTATTTTCAATTTTCTGTCTTCAGCCCTGGAGTGAAGAACCTGAACTCTAGATCAGTAGTTCTCTGTCTGGTCCCTTTTGTGCCAGGGTTCTTGTGGTGGTGTTTTCTTTGTGCTCTGATAAATAAAGCTTGCCTGAAGATAAAAGGAAAAAGCCCTCCACTATATGAAACATAGAAATCAGGCAGTGGTAGCACATGCCTTTAATCCTAGCACTGGGGAGGCAGAGATTCATCTAGATCTGCGAGTTCAATGCCACACTGGGAACGGAGCCAGGTGTGGTGTTGCATACCTTTAATCCCAGCACTAGTTAACCATAGAGGTCTGCAGGTCTGTACAGAGAGACAGGAAGTGATAGAGCTGGGCAGAAAGAGGAAGTGAGGTAGCTGGGCAGAGAGAGGAAGAAAGATGGCAGGGCACAGAAAGGTATAAATGACATGAGGGGGCAGGAACTAAAGAGCAGTTCAACTGAGACCCTCAGGGGTGAGGACTCAGAGGCTTTCAGTCTGAGGATTCATGGAAACAGGATTGCCTCAGGAGCTGGCTATGGCTTGTTCTGTTTCTGTGATCATTCAGCTTTCACCCCAATATCTGGGTCTTGTTTTTTTTTTTTCTATTAGGAAAAGCATTTACAATTTGTGCTACATGTTCTGGCGAACACCAGGAAAATCATGCACTATTGACATTAAAAATATATGGATGCTTGAGTGTGGCAGTGCACAGCTGTCATCCTAGTACTCCAGAGACTGGGAAAGAAAGTGGGAAATCCATGGGCAGCATGGGTTATGCCTTTCTCATAAGAATGACGCATACTAAAACTCTGGTGTTCAGCAGAAGCAGTAGAAATTGGCACAATCACTTTAGCAAACTATCAAGATCTAATAAAGCTAAACATGTCTACACCCTATGACTCAGTAATGCCATTTGTAGGTATCTGCATGGTAGAAATACATACTTTTATTCACCAAGAGACATGTATTAGCATAGTCATAGGCAACAATGTTCATAGCAGAGCCTGGGGAGATGGCTCAGTGAATAATAGCACTTACTGAGCAAGCACAAAGATCTGAGTTCAAATCCTCAACACCCATATAAATCTAGGTAAGGCCTCTCATGCCTTTTACCTCAGCATTGAGTGTTGGATACAAGCATATCCTTGGATCATACTGGTTAGCTCTCTAGCCAAAATGTAGTTTCAAGTTCAGTGAGAGACCCTTTATCAAGGGAATAACCTGGTGTGTAATAGAGCAGGACATTTGACATCCTTCTCTGGTCTCACCCAAATACAATATGCCCATGCACATTTGTATCATATATACAAATAAAGTGTTCATCACAATAGCCAAAGTAAAACTTCAGTGCTCATCATCAATAGAATGAGAAATAAATCACATTTGATTAATCATGGAACACTGTGGTGATACATTGTGCATCCCAATAAAACGTATCTGCAGATCAGCAGAGAGATCCAGTCACTAGATTAGACATAGAGGCTACATAGTGATGGCACACACCCTTAATCCTTTCACTTGGGAGAGACAGATGGGTGTGGATCTCCATGAGTTCAAGGCTACACTGGGAACAGAGATAGGTGTTGTGGCACATGCCAACACTTGAGATCTCCTGTGTTTGCTTGTGAAGCTCACATGCCTTTAATCCCAGCACTAAGATGGAGGGAAGATGGCAGGGCAGAGAAAGGTATATGTGGTGTGAGTATACAGGAGGTCTCTCTCTTGAGGCTGAGGATTTTGTAGAGGTAAGAACGTGGCTATAGGTTGTTCTGTTTCTCTGATCTTTCAGCTTTCACCCCAATATCTGGCTCCAGGTTTTTTTTAATTAGTAATAAGACCATTTAGCAATTTGTGTTACAGTTAAGAGCACTGGCTGCTCTTCCAGAGAATTTGGGTTCTATCCCTCACTCCCACATTGTAACTCACTACCACCTATAACTCTCGTCTTAGGGGATGCAACACCCTTTTCTGTGGACTACAGTCATACACATGATTTATAGACATTTGTGCAGACAAAACACACATACACATAAAATAATTTTAAAAGAAGGATGAAAGATAGGAATGCACAGGAGATCAAGAAGAAAGCCTCCTTCCAAGAAGACATGGGCAACCTTTGATTTTGTGTAGGAGTGTCTTTTGCCAGTGTCTGAATGGAGAAAGGAGATTTTGCCTTTCCAGTGTTCTGTTGTTATATTACTAATACATTTCTTAGGTTGCTATATTATCTGCAAAGCGTCATTTCTGGGACATCTATCTTTCATTAGCCAGAAGTAGATGACTGCATGAAAGCTAAGCCTGGACGAATGTAATTGTCAAAGCAAATATGCTGCCCAGAGCATCTGAAAGCAAACTGCCTGCACTCATCTTTCCTGTGAAAACCCACTCACTTTGGCTGAGAACAGATGGAGCTTGGTACATTCTGCACAGCCTGAGTATTGACCCCCCATCAGTTCTGACATATGCAGTACATAATCACCTCTTCTGTTTTTTAGCACCCTCTACATTACCATGATTTTATGAAATAGATGTGTTCTTGCTGTTGCTCCTTTATAAGAGGGTAAAAATCCTGCAATTGCTTTCTGACAAGGACTTATCATTGCTCTTCCTGCTTCTCCACTGCCCTCGTCAGCCCTCTGGAGAGATTCCTGAGTGCAATGATGCACCCACCACCAACAACCAAGATAAATGCACTTGCATTATTACTATGGGTTATGGAGAGAAGTGATGTAGAGGAAATGATAGGAGATGGTGTAGAGATGGTACAGTGATGCAGGTGGTGGCTGCTATTATGGTGACAGGGGCAGTGGCAGTGGAGGTGATTATAGCGTGTGTGTGTGTGTGTGTGTGTGTGTGTGTAATATAGTGATGATGAAGATGGAGAGGATAGAAACGCCAGTTCAGATAATGAAGTGATATAGGCATTAGGAAAAGTAGTGTTAGGGGAGGTGGTGGTATCAGAAGCCACAATAGTCACAAATGAGTGGTTATGTGAGAATTAAGGACAGCTTCTTAAAAAGAACTTGTCTACAAATGTTCAAAGCACGACTGGCCATAATAGGCCAAAGGAGATATAACCTAGGTGTTCACTAACTGAATAACATGTACATATATCTAGAACAGGTTATCAGAATGAAGACAAGTTGTCTGTTGTCATTGGGATTGTGTTGAAATGGAACATCTTTGATTTTATACCCAGGGTCCTTGTTAAATACAACCAGCTTCTTAGGACCAACTGAGTAACGTATGTAGGCTTTGTCTTCCGGTATGAGTGTAACATCAGACAGGAGCCGCAGGCGGGGTCTATAATTTTTAATAATTTTAAACTAGCTACAAAATGTCAATCACTTCACAAACCAACAGAGGAGACAGGAGGAATTTAATATACATGCTGTAATGATATTTATCTCACAGTTTATCTATATTTCATTCATTTATATAATTTTTAAAGGTTTCTTTATCAGCTACTAAACATCTCAGCAATTTGGTGTGCATAGCTCTAGATTAAGCAACAAAGAATTGTACTGATGACAAACCACAGGGAAATAGTGATCAACAAGAGTCAGACTTCAAAGATCTACATCTTCGCATCTTCCACAGCAAGAGTTGTCTCCAAAACATAGCTTTCAAAAGCAGCAAACAAACCCTATATTACACCCATCTCACATAGTTTCAGCCAAACATATTTTGCTAGAAATGATTAAATAGTGTGTCAACTCCATTTTTTGTTGTTATTTAAAAAGAAAAAGAAAAAAGAAGGGATGGTTATGATCAGTAAGTCTGTATGTTGACAGAAAACAAGAGACACAGCTGCAGGTTTTGCTGGTATGACTTAATCTTGACAGTGTCCCAATACTGAGCATGCGTTGTTGTTTTGTTATTGTTGCTGTTGTGTGTGTTTTCTTGTCAGGATGCTACTGTCATGGAAGGTTTTTGTTTAAGTAGGAATAATCTAAAAATCTATTTAGTTCTCATGCATAAATGCATCAATCACATCACTTTTTAGTGCAATGCCTGTTATGTAATTTCACATTGTCTAATCATGAAATCATAAAGACAGATAATAGCCATGAGGAACCAAAGACAGCACATTTGGAGAGATTCAGAGCCTGACACCCGAAGAAAGGACCGTGGCAGTAGCTCTGTGGAATGTCACAGTTTTACGAGAACAATACTGTGTATTGAGAGAATCAACAGCACATTGAGCATTCCTAAATTGTTGTCATTCAGCAAACGCCACTGAGAAAAGAAAAAAAATGAGACCCAAGACATCTTAGGTTGGGAATTGGAGCCACCAGACGACTACTATGTACAACCTTTGGAAAGAAAGAGAGCCAAAGAGAACAAAAGACACATAGTATCATTGGGAATCTGACAGACCACACAGGACACTTACAATGGGGGCGACTGTGTGTGTGTGTGTGTGTGTGTGTGTGTGTGTGTGTGTGTGTGTGTGTGTGTGTGCAAGACCTACTAGGTAATACCATGAGAAAAGCATGAAGGAGCTCTCTTGTCCAACAATATTTGGAGGAGAGCACAGCAGAAGGGCAAATTTAACCACTTCCGAGCATCTTTGTTGCGCGTTGGTTGGCTTCATCGATTCTGGTTTTGTTGGAATCAGCCTAGAAAAGAGACCACAAGAGAGGTTTTAGATTACTCCTAAAAGTCCCATTCACCCTCTGGGTCAACTCAACCTTGAAACTTCCTCGTTCAGAACCACCACTTTTTCTTTCTTTCTCCTAGGACCATTGCTATGGCCTTAAGTGGACAAGGTCACAGAAACTTGGATTTTCGACTACTTCCCTCACTGGATAGCATCTGTTTTTTGAGGACAGGGTTATATCATTTATCTTTCTATGCTGGACAAGTACTCAGTACTCAGTGACTTCTGTGGAAGCAGTGCTATCTGTTCAACTGAACTGAACTGTCCCCACTTGTTAGATCCTTCTTGGCTCACTTATTCAGCAGTGTCTGTTTGGGCCAATTACATCTTAGATCTCAACTTTCTTGTTTACAAGAAGGGCCGGTAAAGAATAGTGCTAATGAGTATGACATCAAGAGTGTTCTACTCATTAAACCTGGATGACATTAATCACTGGGTGTACATGATTATTTGCTATGTTTTCCAAGGAAAGAAACAAAGCAGATAGGAATACAGGCAATTCTCTAGAGACTTAGTAATTGAGGGAAAGTCAAAATGCAAGCAGCCTGGATTCAGAAAACACACTATTACTCACTCTGCTATAGAGGTTTCCTGTGATGCATTAATTGAGCATACATATATAATGGACATTAAAAATGTCTGTCCTAAGAGTAAGTGCTTATTGTGTCTTACCTTACAGTTATTGTTACTGAGTTGAAGTTTGGCACGCTTCAGGTTATTTACTGGCCTTTAAACCCTATTTTCCTTTTTTTTTTTTTTTTTTCCCTAATTCAAGCAAATGGATTCAATATTCCCTTGGTGTTCTTGTTGGGGCATCGCTACATAGGAGCATGCTGTCATTAAAGACAGCAATGTTTAAGTGCCCTCTTTGAAGACTCACTTCCATGAGTTGGGTAATCAGCTTATCTTTAACAAAAGCACAATTGCTATAATTTTGTGCCTCGCTTCCTTCAGCCTCAGGTTGACTTATTCACTTTCTGAGTCACATCGCGCTGTATACATAGCACGAAACCCAGGAATGCCACAAGGTTAGACCTTTATCCATCAGGGAATTAACTGTTCCCATGACCATGACCATGGAGAAAGGCAAGTCAGCAAGTAGAGGCGGTTGCTCTTTCCTGTCACATGTGGTAATGGTGTTTGCAGCGCCATAGCCTTGCAGAGGAGAGAGCCACTAGGTGGTCCGGAAGAGCCCAGTTAGTTCTCTGCTGAGCCATTATCACCCACTGACCACAGGTGCCCCACCTTCTTCCCCACTTTCCAATCTCTACTGGGTAGGGTGTTCCATACTCAGTTTGAACTTGTGAATTCCTAGGACACTGGAGTCATCCATATTCGAACAGAGTTGCAAAGTTGAACATATTTCTAGATTATTCACAACTGAATTATCTGGCCATGGTTCTCTACCATCTGTTTGGTTAATCAGAAGTTGGCTTCAAAATGAGTATTTACATCATAAGAGGGAACATTGATTTGTCCTGATTGTCCTGAACTATAGACACATGTATTAGACTCCCAGGATTCTCATTTGGAAAATGGATAATCCCCAACCCCCAATTTTATTTAATTCCCAAATCCTTATTCTGTACCTACAAACTGTATGAGGCATAATCATACTTTGGTACAAAGGAAAATTTTTAGCTCAGACCAATTTGAAATGTTCCTATGGATTGAATTGTACTGTTTCTAGACTGAGTGCAGAAAATAATCCACTTTAAAATAAATGTTATTTCTGAAGGCAAATAGAGACTGTCTTGTTGATGAATGTACTGCTGGCTTTCCTAAGGCAGCTCCAGGGATATCTAAGTAGAACAGAGGCTATTCTTGGGATAGTCTCAAAGGACAGGGTGGACCTGGAACACCTTCATTCAATGGGTGCCTGTCATTTCCTCTCAAGTTCTCTCAGAAGCACACTCAAATTCCAGACCCATAATACATGACACAAAAGTACTTTCTATGTTATACAAAATAAATAGCACCTTTTAGAAACCAAAACCAAACCAACCAACCAACCAACTAAACAAACAACAACAAAACAGAATCTCTCTTCAGGTATGTCCCTTGGAAAACGCTTCTATGTTCATCATATTTATGTGTTGAGGATTTTTTTCTGTTTTAATAAAGGCAGCTACCCCCACCCCACTTTTCATGTTTGATTTTAGAGGATACTAAGCTTGCTGACATTTCCAATATGTGCTACATGATTTCCTTTTATGATAGGCCACAGTATCCATCAGGGAGCCCAGACATTGTTAGAAGGAGCTACTGAACCCATGTGTCTGAGTCCTCATCTTCATGGCAGATGGTGTACTGGTCCAGATCAGACATCTAGAAAGGTATGCTTACTATGCCGTACACCAGCCTTTTCAGATTCCAGGCTTAAACTCTTCTCCAATCTTTCAGGTTGCAGAGCTGCTGAACGGCAAATCCCTTTTAGCAGTAATCGCCTTAGTTCTCGGGCTGTGTGTTTCCCACTGACAGAAGACCTCAAGGACTGCCCAGTCAAGGATTTGCATATCACACATCTACTTCCACTGGCTTCACTATGAAGTTTGAACATCTCCACTGTTTCCTTAGTGCCAGTTTGCATAAAGCTTGGGATGGAAGCTTATTTCCAATTTCCAGTTTTCTGGAAGAACTGGGTGATTGTAGCTTTGGATGACTGTACATATAAACACCCATAAGCAAAAACATGAAGTAATTTCTTAAAAACCCACATGAATATAAGAAAACTCTTATTGTTTTGAACTTCCCAGACTTCACTATCAACCCAAATGCTGATAAGAAAAGATCATGATGGTGTGGACGTGGGATGAAGATCACTGATAAGGTCAGGAGAGAAGAAATTTGCTTTGCTTTGCCTACTATGTGGTTTTAACTCAATCCTCTACACGCAGAGACTTTTGAATACAGTGAGCAGAGACCAGCGCTTCCTTGAGAAAGGGAGAGTCTCCTAATAATGGTGCAGCTTGGCAACATGATTGGCTAGATCCAAAGGGGCTCTGTTTAAACTGTGTCCAGATTGTGATTTTGAGGGGGAAAAGAAGCAATTTCTATTTCAAATGTTAACCAGGCTAAACTAATTATTAAAAGGCAGTTATACTCCTTCCCCTTACCTTGGTGGCTCAGCAGTCTAGGGTTGATGGCAAACCAGGGCAGCTACTTCCCATCAAGTTGCCTGGCTTTCCTTAAATCTTTACCCCTGTGTACACCTTTATGTGTGCAGCTTAGTACAGAAGGTTCTTGCCATACCAGAGAACTACACTTGCAGAGGTAGCAGAATGTGGTCTCTGCTGCCTATCCAGGAGCAATAAATATTTCTTTCTTTTTTTTCAAGTTCCAGTAACTCAAAGGTTGACCCTGTTATGTGAGTAAAACTCTCTTCTCCGGAACTCTGCCTGGCTTTGTTGAGGTTAACTGCTTGCTTCTGAGTGAGTTTGGTCCACTGATAGAAAACAAGCACTTCCTGTTTTCCTTCTAGAAAACAAGTCAGCAATTATTTCTTTGCTCAATTTTTCCTTTAGGGCTATAATGGCTTAGGTCAGGCTGCATTGGCTCCAGCACTTTTTAAACCTTTCAATACAATTCTAAAATCCATTGGCTCTCACAGCGTTAAACGCTTTATCATAGTTTCAAAAGCTGCTTAGCTATGACAAGCATGTTGTAACTTGCAGATAAAAGCAAAGCCCAAGCATTTTGTCAGCCAGCTCTGACATTTGTGTAGACCTTAGTATACTGGTCAGACAGAATATTATGTGACCAGATATTGTTTATCTGGAGGAGTTTTGATACAATATTGTCTTTTCATCCCTTCAAGGCATTGAAGGATGCTTGGGGACCAAGAAACCACTACTTAGCTTTGTGATTTAAAAATTAACCCACTTTGCTCCTGGCAATGAAAAAGATACTATAAAGAGGTTCAAGATCTCAGATTAAGAATTTCAGTGTCTCACAGAGAATAAACACACAGCAAAAGAGGAGCTAGACAGAAATTACACATATAAAATCATTATTAAACACTTAATGTACCTTTCTCCCTCTGTTGGTATTTGGACAGTTAAAATATTATAATTAATATTCAACATGCTACTATTAGGACTGAGGAAAATGCAGGGAAGGAGAATTAATGTCTGATTTGTATGGTGAGTGGTTTCATGGTTGCAGTGTCCTGATACAACTTTCTTGGCAGCAGGAATATGATGTGTCTCATTTTCAAGTGTTCTAAGTGCCTAGCACATGCTTGGCATGGGAGAAATTGAGAAAAAATACTGACTACATTTAATTGTATACTCTGGGGCTCAAGGTATAGCTCATTGGTGGAACACTTTTCTAGCACACCCAAGGCCCTGTGCTCAATCCCCAGCACCCACAATAAATCAAAATCCAAACTACATTCTAATCTTCTTTCCAGTTCTGTTGCTGAAGCCCACATTTTTGTCTTCAAGTATTAAGAGTAAAATATCCAGCAACTACTGTGCCTGGAGGCCGTGTCTCCTTCCTAGAGGCAACCAGTAGTCACCACCTGATAGCTGTGGGCTCACCTTCTCCATGATCCTGTCGATCTGGCGATTCTGGGTATCGATCTCATTGCCCATGTCTAGGGCCATATGACGGAGGTTGCCAATGATGCCGCTCACCTGCTCCAGGTTCTCATCCATTTCATTTTCCCGGGCATCATTTGTTACCCTGGGAGCCAAAGAGCAATTTTGGAAGACAGAGTGTGAGAAGAAAGTTGGTATCAAGAAGTAGAGTTTGTAGGAAATTTACAGACACCTAGGGATCTACCTTATTTTTATTCAATATACCAACAAGCCTTAACATCTGTCTGTTTCAAATGTAATTTTAACATCAGTGTTTTGAGCTCAAGATGTAGCTTAATAGTAAAGTACTTGCGTGTTTATGCAAAAACTGTATTTGGGAGCCTTGAATTCTCTCTATGTTTCTTTCTCTGATAAGGTTTGGCTATGAAGCCAAGGCTGGTGGAGATCTTGATTCACTGTCCTCATCCTGCCCAGCATTAATCTTGCAAGTCTGTACCGTTACATCTGCTTTGACTTTATAGTTCTAAAGAAGGCATATATCAATTTGATTTACTTTCACGATTTCTCAAACTACATACATCATTCCCTCATTCTTACATGTGTATTTTATGTATGTATGTATGTATGTATGTATGTATGTATGTATGTATGTATGTATTTACTTTTTGTTTTTCAAGACAGGGTCTCTCTGTGTATGCCTGGCTGTCCCAGAGCTCGCTCTGTAGACCAGGCTGGCCTCAAACTCAGAGATCTGCCTGACTCTGCCTCCTGAGTACTGAGATTAAAGGCATGAACCACCATCACCCAGCCTATTTTACTTATTTTTAATGTGTGTATGTGTGTTTGTGGTATGTGTGTATGTGTGTGATCTGTATGTGTGTGTTCATGTGTGAGTCCTGGTGTGTCCCGTGGTATCCATGTAAACATCAGAGGATAGCCTCAGGTGTAGGTCCTTACTTTCTAACATGTTTACTAGAGCATCCTGCTTATCACCATGTAGGTTGTGTATGAGTTTTGGGGATTTCTCCTGCCCACTTCCCATGTCACCACAGGTACACTAGAATGATCGATGTGCACTGCTACATCTGATTTTCACAAAGCTCCTGGGCATCTGAATTCACTTGTGTGGCAAAGCCACTTCTGAGCCACTCCATACCCTAATTTTATTTTTATGAAGATAAAATCATTTATTCTGAGAGACTCCAGGTCAGAGGATAGAGGCAGAATTATACAGAGACTGTGTTTTGTTTTCTCTGAAACATCAATCTCTAAGATTCAACTTTTAGATAAAAAAAAAAAAGTGATGCAGAGAATCTCAGTGCTTATCACTTTGCCAACTTGGGCTGTGCATCAGTATGGACATCAGTGATAACCTGTCTGCCCCTTAATCCTGAGAACTCCAAAGAGGTTCAAAGGGAACTGCTTTTTTCAGGGTGACTCTTAATACATGCGTATGTTGATTTCATGGGTTTGGTAGAGGCATTGGAACAGGTGCTTTCAGAGCAGAAAAATGTGTATCTGGTGCTTTCTATTGAATGGGTAGGAAAGGGAGGGCAGGAGCTGGCTCACAAAGCACGTTGCCACATTTCCAAAGGCCAACTTGAAGGTTAAGAAGACACTATTGCAAACAGCAGGCATCTTCCTGCAAGTAGAAGGCAATAAGTACAGAATCTTCCTACTAGTTACAGTAATAAGCTAAACACTGGGGGGTTAAACTCCTTTTCCCATAGCAACTCCCAAAGTACACTGGCCTATTATGACTTTATTCTTTTGTTCATTTTGTTTTGCTTAAAATATTGGTCCATATATAGCCTAAGCTGGCTTTGAGCACTCAGGCCTCCTGAATGCTGGGATTGCAGTCTCATGCCACTATGCCTGCCTCCGCTAAAATATATATTAGCCTGAGATGGAGAAAATTCAAAAATTAAGAGAAAACCTCCTACCATTTACATTTTGTTTGAACATCATCAACACTGAACAAATTCCTGTAATGTAATTATTTCCAGTCCGAATTCACAGGGGAATCACCCGAGCTTTACAAATCATAGATGCTTGTGTCAGTGTCAAGAGGTTTGGATTCAATTGCTGTGTACTGAATATAGGCACTAGTTCCTCCATCTTTCCTCCTTCCCTTTCTTTCTTCTGTATCCCCTAGTTGATACTAATACAGGCACTGGGTTGAAAATCATTTAGAGGCAGAATTAGAATTGTCATCTGTAAGGCTACAGGTGCAAATCTAGACTCTACGCCTTATGAAGCACATTTGAATCACAGCAGTATTGGTTGGCCAACAACTACAGTGACTTGAAGGTAGACAGTATTGAGGATGTATACTCTCTCCTATGCTGAGTCCTGGTATAACAGTCTAAACCAGTGGTTCTCAACCTTCCTAATGCTGTGACCTTTAATACAATTCCTCATATTGTGGTGACCCCCAACCGTAAAATCATTTTCATTGCTACCTCATAACCACAATTTTGCTACTGTTATGAATCATAATGTAAATTTTTTGGAGAGAGAGGTTTGCTAAAGGAGTTGCTACCCACAGGTTGAGAACTGCTGATCTATATATGTCCAGTGTAAATATATGGATATGTATTTAGACTTATATATGTATATATGTTTATGCTTTCTTTGACAAAATTAAGCTGTTTTGGTTAAGACAAAGGGATGATAATGTGAAATGAGCTGGGGATAGGGGTCCAAAAATATAAGGACTATAATCTTTCCCTTTTCATTGAAAATATTTGGCTTTTTTTCTGCTTGGTGGCTTCCTCAGAACGAAGGTATCAGCTGACTTATGTAACTTGAGTGCTTGCTCTGAATTCCAATGGGCTTTGGCCTGACAGAGACTGCAGGACAAGGGAAGCAGGGTTTAGGGCATTTCCTTCCCTTTCTATGCTAGCCAACTCTGCCTATGACCACATTTCACTACCATAATACCCCTTTGTAGTCACTGTTGGGTTCTGGTAACAGTTATTGCTCCTGTCTCCCGAAGACTGAGTGGTAACAGCCTTCTACTATTACTAGACTGTAAATGCTACATCACTCATGCTGTTGAACATGCCTCTGCAACCTGTGATGATATTTTATTTGTGTTCTAACAAATAAAACTCATCTGGGGCTCAGAGGATAGAGCCAGCCACTAGATGAGACATAGTGGCCAGACAGTGGTGGCACATACCTTTAATCCCATCACTCAGGAAGCAGAGATCTGTCTGGATCTCTGTGGGTTTTTTTTGTTTGTTTGTTTTTGGTTTGTTTTATTCTCCAAGACAGAGTTACTCTGTGTAGCTTTGCTTCTTTCCTGGAACTCACTTGGTAGCCCAGGCTGGCCTCGAACTTACAGAGATCCACCTGGCTCTGCCTCCCAAGTGCTGGGATTAAAGGCGTGTGCCTTTGGAAGTTCAAGACCACCCTGGGAACAGAGCCAGGCATAGTGGCACACACCTTTAATCCCAGCACTTGAAATCTCATGTAATTGCTTGGGAAGGACACATGCCTTTAATCCCAGGAAATGATGTCAGGAAGTAGAAAAGTATATAAGTATATAAGTATATAAGGCATGAGGACCAGGAACTGGAGACTTTTGAGCTTTTAGGCTTTTTAGCAGCAGTTCAGCTGAGATCCACTCTGGATGAGGACTCAGAGGCTTTCAGTCTGAGGATTCGTGGAAACAGGATTGACCAAGGTGTTAGCTAGGTGAGGTTGGTTGTGGCTTGTTCTGTTTCTCTGATCTTACAGCTTTCACCTCAATGTCTGGCTCCAGATTTTTTTTTAAATTATTAATAAGACATTTTAAGATTCATGTTACAGTAACTGTCTCTTTAATAAGCGTTGCTAAAATAAACCCATGCCGTTTAATGCCTTTCCATAACCACTCTGATTCTGGATGTGGTCATGGGATTTGATGCTCTGGCAAATAGCACCCAAAGCATAGTTTGGAAAGACATTTTGCCTTGGGTCTTGTCCCTTTGACACACTACCATAACCATGAAGAAATCTAAATTCTTTCTTGGAAGAATTCATGGAGGTGGATGGAAGAGACCTCATGGAGGTGGATGGAAGACCTCACAGAGGTGGACAGAAGTATCTCTAGTGAAATCCCAGCCAAAAACCAGATAAGTGAGGCTATCATTAATCCAGTCCTAGCCCCTCGAGGGAGCTCAAAATTTTGTTTTTATGGAAGAAGATAAAATAGATCAGTGCTGGTTATCCATCAGCAAAGAACTACAGGGAACTCACCTGCGGATGAAGCCACCACTGATGGCCATCTGCTCCCGTTCATCCACCACACGAGCAGGCTGGCTGGCCACTACTCCATCCTGATTATTGCCCCAGGCTTTTTTGTAAGCATCACTGGATTTAAGCCTATGCAAAAAATTGGGTGAGTGACAGAGCACAGGGTGGAGAAGAAAGCTCTCAGAAATTACCAATTCTTTAAGCAAAGAACCGAACCAAGCGAATGAGTATTAAATTGAGGCATTAGAGAATACCGATATATCATAATCTGGACCCAAACAATTGGCCACCACCATGCCTCAGCTATTCAGCATTTTATTTTCAAGTGAGCGAATTGAATAATCTTTGGTTTGTTTTATGGTTTAATTGGATTTAAGATAAGGCTTAAGATAGCCGGAGAAGATTCAGTTCTATTTCAGTGACAAGGTTATATTTTGAGACACAAAACACAGAAAAAACATACTGGCAGACAGACACAAAACAAGACTGCCAAGTAGAGGGTGTACATCACACCACAGTAACACAGAATCATGAAGAAAAACATACTTGACCAAGTTTTTAACACATTATCATGCAACGATGTCTGCTTAATGTATTTCCCCCAATGAATGTAGAAACTACATTTCCATTGCTTCATGAAAGACACAAAGGATTGGTGGTTGGCCAAGGGTGATGGTCTTTGGGTTGCCTCTATAGTGGTTTGAAATTGATAATATATCGGTACTTCCAAACAGTCACCATACATCCAGTGTTGATGTACAAACCTTTGTCCACAGAGACAAAAAGTAAAAGAAGCATAGTGAAATGAATGCAGGAAAATAGAAGAGAGAACAAGCCATCTAGCACCAAAGAGGAACCCCACCCCCACCCCACCCTGTGTCTTCTTCATGCACCAGCTACAGGCATGAGTAAAAAGTGAAGCATTCTCATTTAAGCCAAACTACTCCAGAAGTTGACCATTCTCGAAATAGGCACTAGCAGGACAGTAATAGCCTTCGTGACGATTTGAAACGCAGTTCATTAGCTTCTTAGGTGGGCCAAAGGGCAGGGTAGTGTGCATTCAGATTCCTATTTTAAACTAGCCTGTGTTATGACAGGGGAGAGTGGTCTGGAACTAGTGTGGTCTCCATGGGCTACATTTCACTGACCTGCCTTGGAACAAAACTTAAAATCCAGGCATACCTGTTGTGCCCAATAGAAACATATAGAGCATATTTTCGTGGGTATGTTGTAATTTAAGGCAATCAAAGATGTTTCTAGGTTCTTTGCATAGTAGAAACCACATGCTTTTGAGTCCAAGAACAACATACATCCTTTGGTCCCATTTCACAGTTTTTATTCTGAGGCACCAAGATTTAACTCCCTTTCCCCCTTTTTTCTCTCACTGGAGGGATAAAGCCATCTCTTAAACTGGCTTTAATCCTTGCAGATTGAGGACCAGGAAACCGTGGTGACAAATGGGAAATGCACCAGTGAGATTTCAGCAGCTCCCCCAATTGACTTTCACAACCTACTGCACCCAAGGGCATGGGTTCACTCCATGAATGGTACAAGGTCACCAACAAATTTTCATAGCTAAGAGAGTTTGTGTCTCCACCCCACCTCCCGTTCTCTCTCTTTTTGGCTGTAAGAAGCTGTTTGGACTTTGTGATGTTTTCTGCTATGTAAAATGTCTGGTATACCATCTTTGGCAAAATCAAAGGAAAGGGAAATATGCGTTTCCAAAGAGAAGGCAAACCACTGCACCCACAACGCTGCACAGACTCACATCACGGCCGTACATCTACCATAGTCCTTCGAAACATGCCGAGACAGGGCAAAGCCCCCAGAGAGTCCAGGGCACCACCAGCCACTGCGTTGTGACACATGGTTTTTAAAGCGTTATTTACACACATTGGGGAACACTTCACTCAAGCTTTGAAGCTCAATTAGGGTCTCTGTAGAATCAAGGAGTCAGGGACCACTTATCTATGGATTTAGTCGGGGTCATGTTTCTTCAGAACCGGAGGACCCACCTCAAAGAGCCCTACCTCCACCCTTTCTTCACAGGCAATTGATGAAGGGGGTGGGGGTGGGTATCTGCTGGAATTCACTCCAAATGTGAGGCAGGTTAGCTCTGAAAGGGGCTTACAGTCAAACTTGACTAACTGGAATGCTTGCCTGTGAGTCATTTAGGAGAATGCTGCAGGAAAATTCTGTTTTAAGGGTAATTAGTAAATATCTTTCTCAAATTTTTGAGCTAATTTTCTGTTCAAGAGTCTTTGGGTATGAGCACAATCAAGTCTTCCACAGCTAGGCTTATATTGATGTGTCTGATGACCTTTTAAAATCTGCTCTAACTTATCACTTATTTATTTCTTCATAGGCAGAGGCTGTAGAATAAAGACTATGTGAGACACTGCAAATTATCTAGATGTCCTGAAAAACAAAACATTTCAAATATTGGATGACTGCCTCCTTCCAATACCCCTGCCCCACTTTTCTTTTGGCTAAAACCAGAAAGGGGACAAAAGTATTGTGCAGCTGAAGGTTCCAGTTAGCTGGATTCCAGTTAGCCAGGCTTTACCGTAGAGCATTCTTTTTTTTTTTTTCTAAAAAAAACATGCTTTTTATTTACTGGTAAAATGAGCCCCTCCCCCTCCTAAACAGGAAGTGGGATATTTCAAATCAGCCTCAAAGTTTAAAGGATGTGAATGGTCATATAATCTACTCAAAATGACATCAATTTCTATTCTAAAAGCTAGGATCAGGAGAGCTTTTGGGTAAAAGTCTTCTTTTAAGAGGGAAAGGGGGAGGGGGGAGGGAGATCAGGTAACGCGTTCAATTTTCCAAATGCATGTTGGGCAATCCACTCATGCATTTCCCCCCACTGCTAGCCAAATGAGACTATCTTCTAGAACCCTCAAGTTTTTGGGTTCTTTCTGTTGCAAACCTTTATAACCACATGTCACATTTCTGCTACATTCCAAAAAAGCGTTGCAGAACCTTGAGAACAGTTAAATGTTTTGTGATGTCGTGCATGCAAAATCTACACATTTCAACATTTCAGCCAGTGTACGGGCAGATCTTCCAAGAGGAAGAGTTGGAGGAGTTGAGTCCAATTTGGGATGGGTACTACTTCTTACTGAAGAGGATACCTTTGCACTGAGTGAGGCTATAGCACCTCATGACCAACTACAGGAGTTTGTGGGCAGTTGAGAGGGAATCTGCCACATGCTCCAACTTGCAGAGGCTTATCTGGACCAAATTAGCCTGTCTCTTTTACTTCTGAGAAAGAAAAAAAAATCAAACCTTGATACATGCATTTCTAATCTTCCACACTTATCCAAAGTCTTTTCTAAATCTACCATTTTTGTTCTTGGGACTGAGGAAAACAATGTGTCCTGAAGGCCTCTGTTTCAAAGTACACTTTCTGGAAAATGTTGAAATGTTCATCAATAAAAATTGCTGACAGTGAGGCTTCCACTGTAGTATGCCTGATTTTTAATGCATCAACAGTAACTCCCACTAGTATTATCTATGCTATGAGATGAATGCATTGGAGACGGTATTGATCTGTTCTGCATGCCACATGCTCATCCTGCCTATGAGCCTGCAGGAATGAGCTAGTCAAGGCTTGGAGATGAGCCTTGGGAAAACCAAAGCTTCAGGCAGGCAGGCAGCACCTACTTGTTACAGGGACACACACAAAGCCCGCAGAATTTTCCTAGGTCCGTCAAATTCTTTTCTGCTTCTTTCATGTCCTTATTGATTTGGTCCATCCCTTCCTCAATGCGTTCCAGTTGTTCTGATTAAACACAAGTATTTTATCCCCACAGAATGAAGCAGATGGAAAAGGACAAAGAAAAAAAAGACAAAACTTCAGACATTCACTTTGACATTAAAAAAGAAAAACAAAAAAAGAAAAGAAAAGAAAGAAAGAAAACTGGACGCCACAGATTAGAGCTGGTACCCAGTACCTACTTGTTACAAGGACATATGAAAAGGCCACAGCATTTCCCTAAATCTTTTAAATTTTTCTCGGCCTCCTTCATGTCTTGGTTGATATGGTTCATGCCTTCTTCGACACGATCGAGTTGTTCTGGTTAGGACAAAGGGATGATAGTGTGGAATGAATTTTTTTTGGGTTTCCAACAGAACATGAGAAATGACTATGTGAAACAGAATTAGAAAGAAAGAGAGAGAGGGAGAGGGAGAGAGAGAGAGAGAGAGAGAGAGAGAGAGAGAGAGAGAGAGAGAGAGATTGAGATTACAATGCATTATCCAAGAGGATGCATTGCTGTAGACGGCTGCTGCTGCCCTATGTAGACATGGTGGAAGGAAATGAACAAGAACGATGCTCAAAATAGTTTGCAGTTCAGACATGATGGGATGGGATCAGAAGGTCTGTTTGATTTTGCGTATCCAGGGAAACAGCAGTGTATTGACTCAGACACCAGTGAAACCCAAGAGAAAGAAAAACAGGTTGTTAATTTATGTTTAAGGGGCTCCCATTCAATGCTTCCAGAAAGATTATCTGCTCCAGTTTCAAAATATCTGTCTTTTGGTTTTTAAGTATCCCCAACCAGATAAAAGGAGAAAACAGAATGTATTTTCTTCTTTGTGGCAAACAACAGAACAGTAAGCAGGAACAGACATGGCTATGAGTTTCTGTTCTTCCCCCAGCAGTGGCTGCACAGCCAAAGGTGGCCAATGGTCTGTTCTTGGTTTTCCTTATTTAATTCACAGAAGCTGGAAAAGAAGGCAACATCAGCACAGCAATACTGTAAGTACCAAAACATATCAATTCATTTCTTACCATATGAGAGTGACTTACTACAAGATCTGGGGAAGAAGATATCTTGTTCTCCTGCCCTGGTTCCCTAGTGTCTACAATGTGGATCTGCTAGCTACTGACCTGGTCAGAGAACAAGAAGCATGTATGTCTCGCTGGAAGAGGGGCAATGGATTGCCACACAAAAATGACACTGTGCCATTGCTACAAGGAAAGCTGACCTCAGTGCATCTGAAACACAGCTCAATACTCATAAAAATGAATCAGTTCTAGGTTGCCAGGGTTACATAAACCAAATGGATTAATTTCTCAAAAGTGTCACTGCATTAGGGTGACTGCAAGTTTAATGAAGGGGATTTGTCAAGTAGCTTTTAAGACCATTAAAGGAGAAGTGCAATATGATGCTCTGGCTGTCTAATTATAACACCCAGTTACAACCCTACTCCTCTTTTTGTCTGTATTTCCATGCATGCATTGATGAGTGCGCCTCTAGAAGTAAAGGCATGCCTAGGGTAAAACTGATAAGCTCCTGAAGGCCTAAACAATCACCTGAAAACCACTTCACATATGCATATGATGTGGAAATTGTCACTGTCGGACCTAAAAGAGGCTCACTAGTGACCCAAGAAGGGACAGCATGATTCTGGATAGTAAAAGATTACTCTTGCTCTCTTCAGTAAGGCTAAAGAAGCTGTCACTGCTGAGGTCTCTGCTGCCTCTGCTATGTTTTTCAGAAGCTGATGAAAACACAGCAGTGCTTATTCAGGATGAAGGGACAGCGGTGCCGTTCTTCTGTCAGGTGCACAGAGACAGGGATGTCCTGAAAATCTCTACGTGCAAGGAGAATTTTTTCCCTTCCTTCTTCCTCATATTTGAGGGAACGTTCCTTTCTCTTGCTTTCTTCCCTTCCTGGTTGGTGGGACATTTTGACAAAGGATCTTCCTATGTAGCCCAGCATCCTAAGGACATGATTGTAAGCACAACCATGCCAAACTCAATTTTTTTTTTTAACTAATGACTTAACCCCAGTTTCCTTTTAAGAACATAATAAATCAGTTTGTGAATCAAATTTAATACTTGAGTAAGAGGACTGTGGTGTAAGGGAAAGGACACAGTGTTTCCCTAAAACTTTAAAATTTTTCTTGGCCTCCTACATGTCTTGGTTGACATGGTTCATGCCTTTATCAGAATGTCATTAAACAAAGAACCATCATGCATGCAAATAGAAATAAGGATGTTGGTTCAAATCAAAGAATTGTTGATAGCTTGATGAGTGCTGTAGTAGGGTGGATTTAAGGAGGTTCCTGGGCTAAAGGGCAAACTCACAAACAGTGCCAACAACGCACATCCAGAAGGGTGCATCTTCTGGTGTTTGGACTTCCGGATGCATTTCTCTTAAGTTGGAAAACAATTACTACTTTTTTGTTTTGCAAAAATCATGACTCTCTGACAAGATTTCAGAAGCCTTATTCCTGGTGCCTCTAGAGAATAGGAGGTAACGTATACATGTGAACTGACCCCTAAGTGTTGGACCTATGAGTTAGGTAATTGAAAGATAAACATGAACACATCTATAGTCACACTTCTGAAAGCTTCATTCTGTCATGGATTTCCAGCTTTGTTGGTGAAGGTCTGACTGAAAGAGAAAAATTTGATGCCAAATTTGATTAAAAAAAAAAAAATCCTAGAACTATTTCGTCCGGGTATTCTAGCTACAATATCAACTTGACTGTGCTGAGTTGTGTTTGTGGACGTGTTTGACACATTAACACTTGGTTGCCCTGGAATAATTTCTGTGAAGCACTTCTCAAGAAGTTCGTGAGACCATCCATGTCTTCATTTCATTCCCGTGTAGAGCTCCATCTGTGAGGTTCTCACAGCATAATAGCACAGGGTTGACTATGTCTTCTCTCCTTAAGCTTTTATGTTGCTTCTTGGAGATGATTGAGATGTGAACATTTTTTTTTTTAATCATGGGAATCTTTCAGTCTTCTAGTAGACAACACTGCATGTTATTAGCAGAGATCGAAACATTTTTGTTTGCCCTATTTGAGTGATTAGTTGTCTCTGATAGATTCACAAGTAGAAGACAGATTCTTAGGGATTTGTTTAGACATCTTTTCTACTAGCATCATCTAAGGAGAGGAATATAAGACCCTTAGAAACTCGGCCTGGTCCTAAAGTAAAACATACTAAATGTTTTACCTGGTGTACAAGCCTTCATACTGATACCCAGTCCAAAGACACTGCCTGTATGATTCCCACTTTCCTAAGCAATGGTGAATACTATGAAATTCATTGAAACAAAGTGAAATAACCACATATCCACTGTGGCTACCACACTGAACAATAGCCTGAAACATTTTGAACTGAGGTTGGTGACTAAACATTAGCAAGGGGTTGGGGTATTTTGTCAAACACTGCTTTGTAGTGCCATTAACTTTAAGATGGTTGGATGGTACTCGAGATTGGACTTGATTTTGTGGGGTTTTTTTTTCTACCAGCAGTGGTAAGAGATTTTACTACTTAATTTAGAGCTCATCACAGGTATGTTTTCAGAGAGCCCGGACTGAGTCATCAAAGCAAACAATCCAGAAAAGACTAAAAAAAGAAACAAGAGAAGTGGAAATGAAAGGTTAGATTATCCATGTTAATACAGAACCATTCAGAAGATTTTCCTGGGAGACATCACTTTTAGGGGAACAAAAGTCCCAGGGCTCTGTATGTCTCCAGAATTGTCTGTCATTCTTGGTGCTCATTGGTGTCCCCTGATACCTGGGTCTAAAACAAGAATCCTATAAGGAACTTCACAGTGCGATTGTTCAGTTGGACAACCTGCAGAGGTCTGGCCTGCCTCCACAGTAGATACAAAGGTTCTCTAAGAGGGTGGTTGTTGCTTGTGGTCTCTTGAGCAGCTGTGAGGTAGAAATAGTTAATACTCTGGATGTCAGGCATAGACAAAATTAGTACAGCATAAACTGAAGAGAAATCAAAAAGCAGTTACTGATCTAAAACAAGTAAACATTGCACAAACAATTAAATATGTTTATTAAGAGGCAAGGCAGGATAGTGGGGGGGGGCACACTCATCCATCACTTGCAAAGGCCCTAAATTACTAGTAAAAATGGAATATGTAGCCCTTAAAACAAGCCCCAGATCACCTACTTTTGGAGATTTACAATTGTAGTTTTTATTTTTTATTTTTGTCAGTGTGAGCTGTTCATTACAATCTGCTATAACACAAGCTCTCATGAGAAGTATGCTTACCAAAGGACTCCAAAATGTTTCATCTGAAAACATTCACTATTCTGTGGGGGGAAAAATCTGTTCTCTGTTTTTGAGATAATAGTATCTAGATGCTTGTGGGAATTATCATGTTTAAGAATTATGAATTTTTGCATATGCATGGGGGTTTTAGCAATTGTACCTCTAGATTTTCTTCATCCAAGTACAAAGATATTTACACCTCAGGAAAGCAGGCTGTTCATTTTCTACCTCTCTTCTTCTCTTTCCATTTGCAATGCTGGGGCCTGACATAAGGACCTCACTATAGCGCTACAATGGAGTTACATCCCCAGCCTTTCTCTCTCAGGGCACCATGTCTCTGTCTACTGTTTTCCGTGTCATGTCTTTATGTCAGTACTTTATCGAGAAGGGAGAAGACAGCATCCCAAGTCTTCCTGCTTCTGTAAAGCTTCCCACACTGGACTATGAACTGAAAGAGTACTTTGTCACTCTTCTGCATGGTCACCTTCTGTTTCACAACCTTCCAAGCAATGACTTGCTGCACCCCACATTTCAGAGTTGAGACATTGCCACATGGATCAAACCAGCAAGTAATTGCAGCAAATATCAAGACGGACCCTGTTGGAATACCTTTAGAACAGAACTCAACTAGACTCTTAATTTTAGAGATTTCAACAAACTAATTTGAACAGTGGCAGAAAAGTGATGGAGTTGGTATACAATTGTTTTTTCCCTCCTATTTTTACAATTATTTAATGTATATTTTCTTAAACGTTTAACACAAATAAATATTATAAAAACAAAAGCCCCTTTATGATAGCAATGGGAGGAACTTGTCAGAGAAGTAGGGTGTAGTTTTGCATCTGTGAATTGCATGGCATTCATACTAAGGTCATGCTTTCTCAAGATGCTACAAGTTAATATCTGGGCATGGTGGGCTGCCAGGTTTGTAGCATTTCTGCCCAACATGGTCTTCTCTTCTCTACTTGTGGGTGGTGATCTTAGCTCCCAGGCTCCCCATTAACCTAGCTGAGACCTTCTCAGAAAAGTTCTTCAGTCTGGTGGTCCTCTCACTCTGTCCTTTACTTTTCAGCTCCTTTTCCAGGTGTTAGACTCATATCACAGTCTGTAGGCTCTTACTACCACACCCAGCTACCATACATAGGCTCTTACTGTCTACATCCATCCATCATAGCATTCCCTAATAAATCTTAAATGCTTTTAATTGCTTCTCAGGACACTTCAAATACTATGGCTTTCTATCTTCTTTTCTTATTCCAACTCTCACTCTCCAGAAGTCATTAAACATTTATGCACTGTATTGATGGCAGAATATCTCTTCATGGCCATATCTTCGTTGACTTAGTTGATCTCTCCACTGACAAATATTTAGATCATTCCTAGTCTAATAAACTACAAGTAAGGCATATTCATTTTTCTATACATAATTGTAAATGTTTAACTGCAGTGCAAAGTCCTAGGCATGGAATGTTTTGGTCAAAGATAGGTACACTTCAAAACTGAAGATATTATTATCAAATTGTTCCTTATAACATGTGTATCAGCTCACAGCCCCCCTATGCAAATTAGTGGTTTCTATTTTTTCAACATACTATGGCATTGGTTATTATCAATTGTTAAATTTTGTATCAACTTGCTAAAAACTGGCATGCTATTATCACTGATAGTTGAGACAATTTTTACATGTTGACTTGCAAAGTGAAGATTTATATCTTACTCCCACTTTTCTTTTAGTTATTGCCCTTTGATGATATGCATATGCTCTCTATATTTTAGGAAAAGTGTTTTATGCCAGGCTATCATCATGGCAATTTTCCTCTCAGTTTGAAATTTGTGCTTGGAGTTTATCACAGCCTTGCTGGAATGAGTTTTACATTCTTATATTTGCTACTGGAAAATAATCACAATCATAATTTTTTCTAATGCCTTTACAAAGTATGAAAATGTTCAAATATCTCATTACTATAAGAATTCAAAATGGAAACAGGTAAAGAGCTTGTAGCTAGAATTATGTATATTATCACCATATTGCTAGATATTTTGAGTCAAAAGAAAATATACTATATGGTCGCCCTTATAGTTTTTACTTTAGTGTGTAGAGATGATATACTAACATCCAGACTCTCTGAGTTTTGTTACTTCTAGTCTTTACAAAAATGCTTTTAAAATATCTTTAATATCATAATTAGTTAAAATTTCTACTTTTGAGACATACCATGGAAAAATAATTTTTAGTTATTTAGAGGAATCTCTTAGTGACTTGAAAACTAAAACTTTCAGACACTAAATTTGGTTGGTTGGGAGAAATGTATAACCTCATATACTATATCCCATAACCTGGATATTATTGGAAGAAAACCAAATTTATTGGGAAAATTTGGTGGTAAGAAGAGTAAGAAAATTCTCAACACTGTCTAAAATATTGTCTTTTAGGAAACATACATAGATTTTGCTTTTAAAATCTGTTTTCTTAATGTACATAGTAGAGACAACAGTATCATTATTTCAGTCATGAAGAAGGCCTTGACATCCCCATATTCAATATTTTTAACAGAGGAAGCTGAACTTTCTAAAACTCTTACACTTGCACACACATGCAACACATACAGAATGGCCACCTGAGGGTGCACAAAAAAAAAAATCAAAACTGCAACTTTATTCAGATGAAGAATTGTTCTTACTGAAGAAATCTGAACTTACCTCCTTGTTCATCCAACATAACCAAAGTCCTGATACCAGCATCTTTACTCTATATTCCAATTATGGTAGCAAGGTTGAAAAGGAGTTAGAGAGAGAAAAGAGAAAGAGAAATCAGTAAGGAGAAAATTATCCCTTAGTATGGAAAATGAAGAAGGACCAAAGGGAGACAAAGGGAAGGTTCATGACAAGAGCATTAAGGGGCTGGGTAGGGACCAACAGGAACTGGGTAAAAGGTGGACTTTATCAGTGACTCTCAGAGCCATGCAGAGACATGTGCATACCCTCCACATCCTACAATACAGTAAGTGTGCATTGGAATGCATGTAGTTAATACCATACAATCATTTTATGCCTGGAAAGTAAAAATACCTATAGTTTTCCTAACACAGAAAGCAACATTTTCACAGTCTTCTGGGCTGCATTTTCTTCTCTGGAAAGTTTGACCAAAAAAGTGCCCATTAATGGCCAGGGGAGGGATGCCCCATGGAAGATACATAAGGATCTTAGAGTCCTGGTACTTAGGTTTATCACAGGAGAGTGTGGCTTTACAGAGGCTGAGAAGCACAACTCAAAAGGAAATTAACTCTGATTTTTCTCTGTGGAGAGATGTTCTTCAAAATCCGGAAGATGGAGTGAGATCAGAAAATATTTTTCTCTGAAATCAACAGTTCTGTACAATGACGCAATGTAAGAAAGTCACTCCTGTCCAGGGTCACTGCAGTTCTTTTGTGCAGCAATCTCCAGAAACACACATCATCTTGCTGCTTTTTATCCACACAAACCAAGACTTACCTAGGTTACTGGAAGGAGGGGATTGGGAGTGGGTGGGGGAAGAAGTGAAGATACTGTCTTATTTGATTTGGGAGTGTCCATGTCTAGGAATCTAACCTGCTCTATTGCATGCTACAGGGGGACACACATTGACCAGAGAGATTATAGACCACAAAAGGCATCTTGAAGTCTTTCTTAAGTGTATTGAGAGTGGGCTTCCATCTACCCTAGTCTACATTTTAATTATTCCGTTGCCCAATTCTGCAGGTGGCTTATTCAGGCATATGGATCTGACAGTGCAGAAACATGTTGGAGAACATTTTCTGCTGAAAGATCCTATTCCATTCTGCTGGGGACAGAAGTTGGAGAAAAGCTGGTGACTTTTATCAGCCCAGTTCTTTTCTATTAATACATCATAAAATTCTGTGATATATAGTGAGTATCACTTATTTTTATAATGCCTCAAAAGTATAATTTTACATTTTTCCAATTAGGTGCTGCATGTTTCAAAACTAGAGCTGAACTAGGTGGAAAGAGCAAGAGTGTTTGACACTGTCCCAATTGGGGAGAACATAAGCAGAAAGTATTGGTCTGGGAGTCAGAAAAGTTGGGTTGTGCTAGAAGGTTGAGTGACTTCCACAGTCTCACTATTTCCCATATTGAAGGGAGAGCAAGAGACACAAAGAGGGTGTGGTTTACAGATTGGTTCATTCATGTCTTTCTATCCCCTTTCCTTCTATCCACTATTATTTAATTTATGTGTTTTTTCACTCACTTCTTCAGTAAATGTGTACTGGATAGCTACTCTGTCCCAGACATTAAGGACAAGGAACAGAAAAATGTATAGCTCTCTCAATGGTATTTCTCAGTGTGAGAAACAACTTGGTCAATGGAATTGTATTCAGTAGATGATTCTAAATTCTAGATCTTTCTTGAAGTCTTACTGTTCCAATCTCAAGTGCTCTATGTATCAGCTCACCCTATGGCCAAATGGGGGCACTAAGAGCTCTCCCACTTCCCATTGTAATAATAAGGATAAAATGAGCTCTGCGCAACATAGCCATCTCAAAGTTCATGGATATTGAGTGAGAATATATTCCAATGCTGGATTTGATGTGAAGGGAATCTCAGAACTTTTAGGACAAGCTACTACCCTCAGAACATTTTGCTTTACGTGGAATTCTCAAAGAAAAAGAAAATTATGGCAGAGTGAAACTGAAGTGCTGTATATGGGAATCCATACTCTGAAATAGGGCTTCATGCTCATGAAGATCATGTCTACCATTTCCTGCTATGTGTCTCAAACAAGTCTTAAGCACCAAATGTCTCAAAGTCCTGAGTTAAAGAGGGAAATCAAGGCAGTAGTAAAATGTGGCTTGAAGTGTTAAACTAGCTAACATATATTTGATGATGGTGATAATGATGTCACTAGGCTCAATAGCTGGCACATAGTAGGTTCTCAATAGAGGTTTGACCTTAAATTTGGTTCTATTATTTTGATGGTGGATTTATCAAAATGACTGGCTTGTTCTTATGAGATCTAGAAGATGGGCTGGGATGGAAAAATACTGCAAAGGAAGCAAATTATTACTCTCTCCAATTTGTGGAAGAGTTGTGTGCTTTAATACCTAGATTGAGGGTGAGAGGAAATGGCTCTAGTTTTATCTGAGCTCAATTCTTCATTTGTGTTTGAATTTGCTGGGGAAATAGCCTATCTAAAAGGAGTTGGAAATGCTTCTTTTCATTTCTTTCTTTTGTGAAATTTATTTTTCTATTTTTATTTTAAAATGTTTTAATGAATTTATTTAGCCAATAGACTAAGCAAGCGTTTACAGAATATTTTGTTGCTGTCCTTTTGGGGTGCTTTTCCCGAACTCCAAGGCATCTGCCCTAAAGCCTGAACAACCGGGCACTCTCTTGAACTCTGAAGGATGTCACATCTGATTAATAAAAAGAACTGCCAACTTGATTTGATAAAATTTGGAACTGAAAGTCTCACATTTAAGACTTTGGCTTTTTTAGAATTTTTTCCTTTTTATTGCTAAGGCATTTTGAAAGATAAGCTGGTCTAGAGAGAGATATGACACTGAGACATTCATGAAATATTAGGCTTTTAGTAACTATTTCATGCAGGGCTCTGTGGTGCTGTCAAATCTGCCTGCCTAAAGCAGTCTGGCCTATTCTGGCTCAAGCTTCATAGCCCAAGACACTGATATGCAGACTCCATTTCTGCATTTAGCATCAGCAGAATTAACCTTTTTCTTCTCAAATGTTTTCTCCTGGAGAACATCCTAATGATTCTCTGTCTAGATTTAATTCTTCTCTCTTTTATGCTCCCAAGGCAGGTATGATCTTGAATTTGGACAGCTATTTACTTGTTTTCCCTCCAGTAAAACAATTTGTATCTTCTCTCCTATTTCCAACATTAGACATATATATTTGTTGAAATGTATCCACCCGAATTAAGTCCCCATCTCCATGCTGTGAATCAAGTGCCACCAAGTCTCTAACCTTTGTACCTGTCTGTGATAATCAACTTTTTTGAAACTTCCCCACTGACCTCTGAGTAACTTTAGATCGTCCTTGAAATGCTGATGGTGACTTCTATTAAAAGTCAGGTCCCCAGCCTCCTCTGCTGTTATACTATGGAGTTTGTTAGGGATAGCATAAAGCTGTACTTTCATGGGAAGTGGATTATTTGCCTTAGGGAGACTTCTCAATTCTAGTAACCTTTCCTGTCTTTGAAAACTGAATTCAATAAAAATTTAGTTCAATTCAAATTATGTAGCACTGATGGACTTTGGGGTTGTGAGTAAAATCCTGGTATTTCAAAGCTCATATTTTCCAAATAATTTCTGCCCTTGATGAATATTTAATATTGATTCCTTTAAAGAGAATTTCCTTTTTGATTGAAAATCAGAACATCATCTGAATAGCCAATGCCCAGGACATGAGGAATGTTTCACTATAAATATACAATGACCCAGGAGGGAGTAAGAGCAAGCCAGTCTACTTTAATAATGCCCTGCTCACAATTTCCTAAGGATGGAGTATCTAACAGCCTCCTCTCATTTATTAGATGTAAAAGATTGCACCCATCTCTTTCATTCCTTGATCTAAGATTCAACTTCATGCTTGATTGAGAAACAATTTAGGAGAAACAAAAACATATAATTTGAGAATCCTACTTCAATCAATGGAGCTTTTATTCTTAGAATAAATCAGAGCAGACAGACTTTTGCAAGACTAGCTGATACTACTTTCATTTTGAGAAGACATACAAGAGAGAAGGGTTCATGTTCGCAAGACTGAAGGACAAAGGGCCAGTTTAAAGGGGTGCATTCCAATGCATTTATTCTACTACTTTCCACAGTCTGGGCAATGTTTCAACATTGCACAACTGAGCAAATTGGAGACAGCTTGAGAAATGCACATAGTATGTTCATGTATTTACACAAGCAAGTGAAAAGTGGTTCTGGTTGTAGGTCATGAAGTGTAATGTGATAATAATAGTGGAGTATACAATAAAGTGATTATAGCAGTTAAATATTGAGTCCCCTTCTTATTAACCTCAGCTCATGTAAGAATGTTCCAAGCTCTTGCTCTTTTTGTGTTTTGCTTGCAACAAATTGGAAAATAATACATTAATGCCAAATGGCCAACAGTCCAGAATTGAGGCTATCTGCCTTATTCTTGGCATTTAGGCATCTCTGCATGAGCAGTGCCCCTAGAACAAAGCAAAACAGACATTTCCCTTCATTTAGAGTAGAAGGCTGCTCTCCTATGCTGTTGAGGGCCTGGAGGGCTGCCTCTCTGTGGGGTCCAATTTGTGCTGCATTGCAAGCTCAGTGCGTCATTTTGGAAATAACAGATTTTTCCCCCCAAAGAACGCATCATTACTTCTCCCCACTCTTGCTGTGGTCATTCACCTTTAGCCACATTTCACTCCTAGCTGAGGAGCTGCAGCTTCAAGAATAAAGGAAGACAGCATTTGCACCCATAGTGTAAGAGGCAGCTGCCTTTCCTCTAAGCCTTTGTAAAATTTATCTCTTTTTTTCCTCCCCTTTCATGTCATTGCATAAGCAATTTATAGTAGCATAGGGTGGCTGAATAGGCTCATTTAATCATTCTGCCAGAGAAAGCCCAAGATCTCTAGAAAAGATAATCACACATGAATTTATACATTGATAAGCAGTCACATTCAAACCGTGGCTGAAGCAGCATCTTGCTGAATAAAAACCATTAGGCTTGTTTTATTAGGTTAAGATAAATATAGTCCAGCCCATTCTTTTTCTACTCCATCTCTCCCAATGGGCAAGTTCAATTAATCCATTTATTCTTCCTGGTTGACTGCTGTTCTACCAAATTGGAATGAGTAGGTTTTATTGCAAATGCTCTTTTGATTCCATTATTGCTATCTGCCCTATTTTACCCATTTAAAAATAGTTTGGGATTCATTAAACCATGAATTACAAATGCTTTACAAATGGATGTGCAATCCAGAGTGAGTAATATAAAAGAACTTTTGTATTTACTTAATTGGACTAGATTTTTCTCTTTGTTTAAGGTTTTTCCTATTTTTTTCATAATTTTTAGTGTCCAACACTAAATACAAAAATTTCAAAAGATGATATGCCTGCATAAAAACATATTTTTCAATGTTATAAATATAGTTGGAGTCAGAAAAGAATTTTAAATTAGCTGTAATTTGTTGCAACAAAATCATTACAAATGAAGATTTTATGTAGGTAAATCCTGCATAGATTAAGCACTACTCTCCTTACTGGGACCTCCTTTTGTGACTGTTGGAAACAGGAGTTCAGAAATAGTACATTTCTCTATAGTAAGGACTGTAGAGGTAGCCTGTGCTGGAGGGTGGTGAGGTCATCTTGATAACTAACAACTTATGTCAACATTTCCAGTATTTTCTGGCTTTCTGATAGGTTATGTTAGCAATGGAAACAAGAGAATTGTGACTTAGGCAAAAGCAATAGGAGCTCAGAATGAACATGTCAACATAGGGACCTAGTTTACGTTAATAGAATCCACTCCTTACCTCTTCAACCAGCTGCAGCATGCGACGGGTGCTTTCCAGGGACTAAGACGGAAAAACATAAACATTGTTAAGGGCAGTAAGTAATAGAGCACTAGGAAAGTCAGAAACACTTTCTTCACTTGAGAAACGCAAAGGTCCCTATCATTTATGACTTCAGCTTTGCAACCAAAACACAAGATGTTTTTCCAGTTTCAATCTCTTCCCTATTGGGCTTTTCTCCATGATCAGATTTCCTGCAGCAATCAGGTGAAAGCTTATCTTCATAAAACCAAAACCATATGAGGCTGATCTTGATATCAAAGACAAAGTAATCTGGAAAAATCATTTTGTATGCTCTGGATGCATGGAAAACTATCTCACATACTCCAAGGACTACTTTGGCCTCCCTGGACTAGGGATATTGAATTTTAAACACAAACATGATTTTTCATGAGTAGAGATGAGTGTAACAAGTTTCCTTTAAAGCTCCTAGAAACACAACTGGAAGTTGTTATCAATCCAAATTAAGCTGTCGCCTTAGGGTGCAAAAAAATCAAGCAAGTTTGAAATAACTAGCCCATAGGAGACAGCTATAATTACCTTCATTCTTAGATAAGAAAAAGCATGAAGAAAACTCGGAGCTTGGCGGCTGGTCCCTCAGGCACAGCATCGCCACTTTGTTCTCAGTTCCTTTAACATAGTTCCAACCCAGCAACCAGTGTGATTTCTCAAAACCATGCCTTTAAGTAGCAAACTTATGTTGGACATGTTTCTGCAGGAACTTCAAAGATGTGAATTTTTGCTGCAAAGTACTTAAGTGGACTCCTTTTTGTAAGAAAATGGCTATTAGCAATGAGGTGCTGCCAAATGTTTAACAACTGACTCTGGAAAAATATGAGTACATGTATGTATATTCACGTTTATTGTCCTGATATGAAACACAAAGAGGACAGAGTTGACACATAATACAACACAGCATGCATGCATGGTTATAAATTCAGTGTAGCATGTTGATTCTCACAGAAACTCCTGTCAGGTTTTGTGTAGACTGTGGCCCATCATATGATGAATTCGTGTAATTCTAACATGGTCACTGGAACTGGATAGCTTCACTTATGTTCATGAATAAGAAGCAAATGAAGGAATGAAGACCTTATGTTAGAATTAAACTCATAGTAAAGAAGATGATGATTTTGTTGAAAAAAAAGTTTCCAAGTAATGGAGGACTCACTCAAATTTTTTATATTTTTTAATTTTTTTTATTATTGAGAATTTTGTACAATGTATTTTGATCATATTCACCTCCTTCACTCTTACCCCTAGCTCCTCCAAGAATCAACCCTATCTCCCTATGCCTCAACTTCGTATATTATTTTCTTAATGTAGTAACTACAGACATGCATACTTTAAAATTTTTATCTAGATTATTAATATTTTCCCTTCTGTCTTAACTATAGGTAATCAACAAAATAATAAAGCAACCCACGATTGATAGTGTTTGCGAATGATTGGTTCTAAATAATTGCTTTCTATTTGATTTCTGAGTGCAGTGCGGTATAATGAACTTGCCGTTGAGATCTACATCAGCACTGTTCTATGGGCTTTCCATTTCTTACATACAGTGAGTAGAAATGACTCAAGGGCATATATAGCAGGAAAAATGTGCTAAACTAACTAGAAGCAATGAGCTTTGAACACATAGTACCATTGCTTTTTAAAAATAGATACACAATCTACTTAATTTTCAAATTACATACTTCAATTTTAATAATAGCCATGCTTAGCAACCCACTTGGAAAGTCCCTTGAAGTGTTAACTCTCATTACTGAGTTAACTATATCATGCTGCAAGATATCCAAAGATAAAGTTTTTTCCTAGAGGACCCTGCCCTCTCAAGTGTCTAGGAGTCAAGAGTCAGGGCTAAGACATTAATTTTATTTGGGCTTTGTAATCAACCCTTTCTAGCCTGCAGCCATCTTAAAGAAGAAGGAAGTTCTCTTTTTACTTTTTTTTTTTTTTTTTTAAATTGAGACATTAGAAGAAGTGTTTTCTCAGAATCTGAATTCAAATCACCAACCTTCCAGTCTTTTGCTACCTCCTGGGTCTCTATCCCTTACCTCATCAGCCAGCTGGTCAGCCCTCCTCTGCATCTCCTCCAGTTCATTGCGCATATCTGCGTCTTCGGCCATGGTAGTGGTGGGGGGTTGCTGGGCACTCGGGCCAGCAAATCAGCGATGGGTTTGGCTACAGAACCTGAGAAGAAGCAGATTGGAAAATATAAGAGCTAATAGGAATATGTGCATACTGGAAAGTCTAAGTGCCACACTGTCCTGAGGGTTCAGATAACTTCTGAAATGCAAGGCAAATTCAGATAAGAATCAATAGAATCATGTCGTTTCTCCAAAAAGTACCAAGAATGAGTCTTTTATCAACCCCATCACTGAAAAGACACATTTGCATGTTTTGTGATAGTCTTGCATTGTACCATCTTTCTGTTTCAGCCTCCCAGTGTTGCAATATTACAGGTTTACAAGAACATATACAGTTTGATCTAAAATATTTTTAAAGACACAAACCATACAAGGCTTGGGAATGATGGGGAGGATGATACAGGCCATTGTTGGCACATTTTTTAATTTCACATTTATTTAGTTATATTTTGACAGTTTTTATTGAGATACAGTTGATATGATACTGTCAACTCCGCATTTTAAATGATATAGTTTGAGAAATTTTGTCATCTACAATACACTCAGTAACCTATTGCTCTGAAAAAGAAAATGAGCTGGCCCATTAATCCCCCAAATTTCTGTCTACCCTTTGTTACATGCTCTTCTCCACACCCTTCTGTGTTCAGGAAGCTGTTGACCTCCTTTTTGTCACTTTAGTTGCTATTCCTTAGGTTTGTGTATAAAGGAAATGCCTGGCTTTTCCACTTGGTATAATTATTTTGAAATTTACCCACATGATAGCACAATTACAAGACCATTTCTATTTGTTTGTATGTAGCATTCCATTGTATTTAGAATCATCCAGCATTGTTATTAGAGGTTGTCAAGATCGTAAGCAGGGAAACAACTCTTATTCCAAAGTGGTATGAGTCCAGAGCCTTGAAATGTGACCAGCCCACTTTGTGGCTACTAATATGAAACAAATACAGGCAGGAGGATCCTGATTCTTCCATTCTTTACTTCCTATCCTTCTCCATTCTCAAAGACTTACTGATATCATTGTGTCAGGGATACAATGATAAACAAGAGCGGTAAACTCACCACCTCCACAGAACTACAGTCTAATTAGGAAAAGAAAGTGAAGGAATTCTGAGCACAGGAGTTAGACATTGTGCCTGTGAGGACACAGTCAGTCCCTCTAAGGGAGTAATGTCCCCAGAAGGGACCTAAGGAAGAGTTTGAAGGAAGTCTTTAATGTTATGCCAACATTTTTGGGCAGCACATCTAATTAAGGCCTGGGATTGTGTCTTGTATTTGAGATGGGCAAGTATGCAGTGGAATTTATCTTTGCTCTTGCAGGGTAGAACATGGTCTCTGAAGAATGGGTGCTAGGAATTAAATTTCTAGTATTTGCTAGGAGATGGCCATGTAGCTAGAAATGGTCCCTACATGGTGATGGTGTGTGTCCCTGTCAGACAGAGGGTATCCAGAAGTTGATATTGAACTGGCATCGTTCTCCTGCCAGCAAAAGCAAGACAACAGAGGCTGACTGAGCCACAGGATAGCAGGAGCCGGGGTCCTCTGAATCCTCCAAGAGAAGAAAGCTGGCTCCTGAGCAGAAACATCCATGATTCCGTAGTTAACAACACACATCTCATGAGCTACGTGACTGTATTCGTACGACACTGTCATACCACTTTCTCAGCTGCTAAGGTGGAATTCCTCTGGGGCCCGGAAGTGGTACACATTATTAACACCCTGAATTAGCCAGGCCTGTAAAGAAAGTCTTCTAATTGAGGAACCTTACACAGGAAGAACTAGAAGTTGGGTGGCTGTGGGCAAGATCATCACTCTTCCTGCGCTTTGTTTCATAAAGCTCATTTCTGAGCTTTTTTGTCATAGGTGTGTCGATTATAGCAAATTCTGACCGTTGCTTGCTAAGAATGCTGGGCCTTCATATTCAGACAGCCTGTTTGTGCAAAATATCCTCATACCCTTTCTTAAGAGCACAACAAATCTAGGCTCTGTTACCGCCCCTTTCTTTAGTAATGGCTGGTATCAGGCATGCTGCCGAGGAGCTGAGCGCGGGTGGAAGCAGAAACCAGGGAAACCAATTGAGGCTGGAGGTGTTAGTAGTCTCCAAGCAGCAACTCTCTCAGGATTGCCACCAGAGAACAAGCAGAGGAGCACCTGACCTGGGCTGCCTTTGTGATGTGCTGCTCGCTCTTTCTTGGGTCATCTCCTCCTTCAACAAGCTACTGGCTTTTGCTCTTAGTTAGGCCGTGTATTAGAAAGCAGGGGCCATGTGCTTTCAAACCTACAGTGAACTGCCATTTCCCACTCTTCTGGGCTCAGTTGTGAATAAGTTTTTACTCCCCCTCTTCTCTCTCTCTGACACACACACACACACACACACACACACACACACACACACACACACACTTCCCATCTATAGTGTTACCTTGGTGATCTCTCAAAGTTATTATTCTCAGCAGGAGAAGAACAGCTGTATGCTCCTGGTTCCAGCCTGCCAGCAACCTGCCAGGGGCCGGCTGATGGGCAGGTGGCAGGCTGGCAGAGAAGCCATGTGGTAGATGCGCTTGTATTCCTTGCTTTCATGCTCTCCCCACCCCCGACCCCCCACGAGGAGTTCCCATACCTTTGTCTCACTCTCAGAGACATGCTTATTTGTGTCTTGGATGGATGGATGGATGCATGGAAGGTGAATGACAGATTCTCAAATACACAGCATTTTAAAGCAGAGAGAGCAATGACAGGCCTCCTGATGAGAACCCTGAGAACAGCCAGACAACAGGCCACTTGCTGGGATGTTTGTGGATACTATTTGATAAATTGTCCCTCCAACCCACAAGTCCATGCATGATTGCATTCTAGGACACAGGCATCATGGTAACTAGAAGTTATTTCAGTGGCTGAGAGGATGTTAATAATGAAATGAAATTACCCAGGTAGCATGGCACAAGTGTTACTCCTGCAGATTCACTGCCTAAACTGTACCCCAAAAGAACAAATCTCACATAATAAGGGAGGACACAGGGCCATTGCCTCTCAAAAGGCTTCCCCTGAGCTCTGATGTAAGATACCCCCTAGTCATTAAAGAACCTTGCTGATGATCTCAAATGACCAATGCAGAGTCTGGCCCTTACTAGGTATTCACTTCTTGTTAATTGATTTGGGGATGAATGAATATATTATCATGGTAGTCCCTTTAACTTTCCCAAATCAGCACTTTTCAGCTTAAAGTTTGAGACAATGCTTCTGTAACTCCTGCAGGAGAAGTCAGCGTCACAGGAAGTTTTTTTTTTTAACGATAGTTGAGTCATGAAAACTGCAGAGATTCCAGTTTGCTGGGTTTGAGAAGCAGTCCCAGATTTTATGTCTCTACAGACACTGCTGCTCTGCAGACCACATCTGGCCTACTTACTGCTACAGCATCAATAAGTGTCACTAGATAAGGTCAAGAAATGGCTTTGTAGTCACACAAATGGGACACTGTCTGAATAAATCAATCAAGGATTCTGTAGCAACACAGCTCTCACCTCAAACGGAATAAGAGACAGCTGATTCTGGATCTAAATTTGAGTGACCATGGCCCAGGAACATAGGCTTAGGTTTCTGTGGGATCCATAGTACCAATGAGGATGTAGTTTCAGGAAGTTCTTAATGGTAATGGAACAAAGAACATTATATATCAAAACATTCCTAAGATCTATTGGTGGAAACAGCAGAGATGTGGTTACATTCCAGTGGAGGAATCTCAACCATAGGCCTCAGATGATATCTGATAGCATCCTTAACTCTGATCGGTGGAGAATAGGGTTTCCTTAAGTTAATACATTCCAAAGGTTTCTATCTGTTGTTTATCAGGATGTTACATCTGACAGGAAGGTGAACAAGAAATAGCTCTTTAGGGGGATAAAGAGAGTTGAGAGAAATTTAATTAGGCTCTGGACCTACAACATTCCAGCTTCTCCATAGTCCTTACAGTTTAATCAGTTAATCAGCCTGTGTAGACAGTTTCTTCCCAGGAATTCTCGTTCCTTCACAGTCATCTGGACCAAAACCATCTTGCTGTTTGTTTTTGCATGGGACTTAAGTCCTGCCTCCATTTATAAATGGTTGAACTGTTTTGAGATGAAAAAAAATGTGAAATGAAAATTATAATATTTAAATTTCAGAGTCTGTAAATAAAGTTTTATTTGAGCACATGTTTGTCTATTCCTAGATTTACTGTCAGTGGCTTCTTCTATGCCATAGGGGCCCACCAAGCTGAACATATTTGCTAGCTGACTCTGCAAAAATAAATAAATAAATTTGTGGATCCAGCAAATAAACATACAAACAAACAAAACCAGAAATCCTTAAAAGTTCATTATCAGGCTCTAATATCTCCAGAGCATTGCATATTTACTACAATTGAATACACTGTGTGGGGTATTTATTTTTCTGTTCAATTTTGCATGCATCATCCATTCAATGAAGCTTCCTATGGTGTTTCTTGGAACATATTCTAAAATAAGAATGATGCATGGAGCAATACTACAAAATATGAAAACGAATTTGCCTTTGATTGACTATGCCTACAGAGTTTTAGGATTGCAAATCTGATTTAACTCTTGCAATTAATTGTGAGGTGATGGGGTGTTTTCACAATCTCACAGACATTCTAATTTCCATGGTCAGCTGCAGACAAAGGCTCCTAGCCTCAGCAGCGCTACTGGGCTGTTTACATCAGAAACAGACACTTCTGAGGGCCTACCACTGTTTTGGTACATGGGGCAAAGCTAGCAAGCTGCTGTAGTTATTCTTTGGTGTGAGGGGTAATTTGCCAAGTTCTCCATTTGTTACCACAGACAAGCTTGTGTGGAACTCATCAGGAGAGAGGGGGAGTGCTACAGTTTGCATCTGGAATGCTCCTCAAAGGCCTGTGTGTTAGAGGTTTGGCCTTTAGCTTGGCACAATTGGAATGTGGTGGGACATTTAATAGGTAGAGCCAAGAGGAAGGAAATTAGGTCACTGGGAATGTGCCCCTAAATACTGGGACCCTGGTTCCCCCCTCCC